GAGCAAAAACTAAATGCCTACAAGGAGACATGTAACATGGCATGTGTGCATGGGCCAAACAAGCCTCCTCCCACAGACTCGTGGTGATCCTATTACTGCTTAAAGAGAGGAGTGGAGGGGTCTTTTTCTTTACACAGCAATTAGCCTAATGCAGCATTAACTTTGACCTGCAATGTGCATTTGCCACGACTGCCTGAACTGTCAATGCATTAGTATTCACATCACAAAAACCACCACCATTTTTCCCTCCTTTTTACAGTGTCGCAGATCCTGCCTTAGACTCATTATTGGACTATCCTCATCCAAAGCCTTGTTTTACTCAGTGGATCAATGAAATTCTATTTGAACATCTGTTGGCCAAAACAGCTGTAGATAGCCACTCCAAAAGGAAAGCCCTAATAGGAATTTACTATTGTCCTTCCACAAGGACACTTCTCTTTGTTTCAGAATAATAAACAGCCACTAATCAGCTCTAAATAAATCATTTATCCTCCCAGGACTTTCTTCTACGTATGAAATGAGGCATTGTTAAGGTAGACTGCTTTCAGCTAAGACACAGTCATTCAGTTTAGTATGTCTGCACACTGAAAAATGGTTTTGTCTGTGTCCTATTTTTTCCCTTTGTCCACAATGTATTGTAAAATATAATGAGCTAATATTAACTCACAATGAATCCCAGCAAAATGAATGATGTGTGTCTTTGTGAGTGTAGGTGTGTGCTTGTAGGTGATGCATTAAGCATATCAATAAACCTGTCATCTTGACATATGCCCTCCTGTGCTTTCTTCCTCCAAACAGCAGCCTTCGCTCAATTAGTGGACCGTAAACATGCTGCTTTTGGCTGAGATGTTGCATCTTTTTAATTCTCGGTATCTTCCTATTAACCGCTGTGGACCCATTCTTTTGCATTCACATGACACTGTAGACATCTGGTGTAGTACAGGTTGAGGCAGAAAGTCCACTGGTTTCTCCATCCTGAGTTCTGTGCACTGAAAAAATAGATTAAACTCAGTTATGCATCCATGCAAACTGGCCCACACGTAAATGAATAAGCATGCAAGAATGCACACATTACTGTATGCTTGCACCCATTAAAATATTCACAATTACTCTCTTTGTAATTTCACTTGTTTAGAGCACATTTTATTCTTCCAATTACACTTTTGTTTGTCAAGCATCAGTGTATCACCAGATCACAAATTAAAGTATTTATTATGAAATTAGAGATATTATTTTGTGAATCTCTATAACACAAAATGCATTTTCTTGCTAATTGAAGTGATTAGTCTTTGTTAAAACAACAAAAAAAAAGCCATTAAATTATTGTCCTTCAGCACTGCTTGGTTCTTTAAAAAAAAGGGTTTCTATAACAATGACTAGGCAAAAAAAAGGCTTGTCAGTCAAAATCTTTGTCTCCATTATGATCTGTTTGCTTACAAACATATATAGGAAGTTGTCTTTTTCATGCAGATGAGTTGTAGAGGTCAAATGAGTCCTTTTTAGACTTCTGTGTCATGATGCCAAGTTGTCTATGATGCAGGTAAAGTAGAAAAAAAAATGTTTTTTTGTCATTTTTTTAAACTTTATTAATGCGAGACACAGCTTCCAACTCACAGTTGCATTTACAGGAAGCATTGCCAAATGTTTTATGGCTGCACATCAAAGGAAATGATGATAGCATGATCTCTGGCGAGACCGCCGTTACTCAGTCAGTCTTCCCAGCCCCGGAGCAGATATCCGCTATCTTCTGCTTCCACAGCCATCACAACTGCAGATTTGAATGTGTTCGTTTCTGCATGTGAGGTGGTTTGTGGATTCCTGCTAGGTGCTTTATGCTTATGGAAACACACTTTTGTTACCAATATATAAATCAGATTATTGGAGACAGCTTTTCTATTCATTTAGGTATAGTAACCATTACTCATGTAGCAGAGAATAATGAATCAATTATTGTGCAAATTAATCTTGGTACTACACGTGTGCTTGGATCAGGCTCTGAGAAATTCTCACTCTTAATATAGGCCAATACTTTAAAGACAATTTATCATTAATGAGACTGAAGTGGATTATGGCTCAGGACTATGCGAGACTGTAGATATATGATGTGGGGTTTTCTCTACCACCTTTCCCTGTCAATTCAGGCCTGACATAATTCTGATTTCTATGTGTGACTATAAAAATCCTCCGGTTGAAATCAAACAATCATTGAAATAATCAGGGAAAAATAAAATAGGCCATACAATAGCTGGATGAAATAAAGGCTTGAGTTACGCTCCGTGTTTAAATTAGTCCTGCGTGAGCTATATATCGGCTAATGTGCCTGACAGTCCATTTTCATCATAGCATCTTCTCCCGGGAGTAATATAATGTCTGCCCTTCAGGCGATGTAAATGAAGAAAAATGTAAAAGCCTGAGCCGAGGCTCAGACTGTGCATCAGTGAAGTTAAATGTGATTGAAGCGCAGTGTTGTAGCCTATAGACTAATTTCATCTTATGGGAGGAAACCCAGAAATGCCATATTAATATGTAATTACCACTATTACAGTTTCCTGTCTCAAGTTTGAATATCCACATTATATAGAGGATAATGGATATTTTTTCCCTCATAATGTTAAATAGGTTGGGACTTTAATATGCTAACACATGTCTAAGTTAGTGTATGCATGTAAGTATTCCATTTTGAAAATGCCATTACTGCTATTTTACCACTGTGTGTTTCAGTTAGGGTGTTTCTGTGCCATGTGTCCCATCAAGTGGTCAGATTCAGGTGGTCCATTTATGACATATTGTTATGGGAAAACCATAAAATAAATGAATGAAATAATGTGAGAAGTTTATTTCGGTATTTGATTATCAGGGAACTGCCAGGATGTTTGTACCATTGGGGTTAAGTAGAATGAAGTACAAATATCTCAGAATAAAACAATATGTAGCTTTTTGGTGTTTTCACACAAAAGTCAGATGATAGTTTATGCAACACCATCCATCCATCCACTTATTCTAACAGGCTTGTCTTTGCACTGTTGGAGGAAGGCATGGAGACACAGGGAGAGCATGCAAACTCCTCAGAGAAAAGCTCCAGAATGAATTTGAACCCACGACCTTCCTGCTGTGAAGCAACAGTCGGGCCCTTGAGTTCAATGAGTTTCCATAGCGGCATTATTTTTCAGGATGTGGTGCCCTCTTGTGACTTTTGTGCAAATTTCAATCTGCTGAAAACATAAGTAAAGAAATAAATTCATCCACATAGTCTCACAGCAAGTTGCATTCAAAACAATAAATATTAACCGAATAGTTAATGTATAACAGTTTTGCTATAACTAAACTAAAATAGTATTGAATACAATGTAAAATAAAGATAGTAATAATAATATTTAATAATCCTCCAGTCCTGTGGGGGCGCTGCCAGGCGTTTCTAGACCTTAGGCCTCTTTTTCCTCGGAGCGGAAGCTCGACTGTTGTTTATCCGGCTCTGCATCGTCTCGTCGTGTGAGCAACGATGGCTAGCACTGGTGCAAAACAAGCGCCTAAAATTGTCTCCAAAATTTCTGCGGGAGGCACCGGGGCGGCGGGGGCTAGTGGTGGGCCCCCGATAATGCCCCTCGCCTCTCCGCTCATGGGGAAAAAGAAAAAGCCGTTTCTAGGGATGCCTGCTCCGCTCGGTTACGTTCCCGGTCTCGGCAGAGGGTGAGCTAACTTAAAGCTACATGCTGCTAGCCAGATTGACCTTTTTTTTTTCAATCGTACTAACCCAAGTTAATAATGAGTAAAATTTAAGTACAAGGTAGTTTTACAATACATTAATTAATTGGTTAATATATATATAATTTATACGTGAATAAAGTGCATATCGTTTCCTTTACCATGGCAAGTACGCCAGACTATGAAGTTTTTAAATAGTTTAGTGGTTTTATGATTTAATTGCTTTACCAAACGTGAACTGTTAAATTGAAATTTAATTCAAATAGAGTTAAATGTCAATATATGCTCTTCCTAAATCCATAGTCATCTAATATATAATCTGTTTTAGACAAGCGAGCAAAATTTAAGTTAAAAAGTCATAGTGATCAAAATAGTGTTATGTCACTGTGTTATAGAGAAGAGTAAAGACCTCGCGGTATAATTTTGGCCTGGCTGTGTTTATTTATGTCACATTTAAATGAATGCTTTTCCCTCCAGTGCCACCGGTTTCACCACCCGATCTGATATCGGTCCTGCTCGTGATGCCAATGATCCAGTGGATGACCGGCATGCACCCCCTGGAAAGAGGACGGTCGGGGACCAAATGAAAAAGAACCAGGATGATGATGATGAAGATCTGAATGACACCAACTATGATGAGGTATCTGTGATTTGTTGTAGATAAAGTTTTTTTTTCTCTGAGAGTTTAAATGATCAAGTCACAATTTTAAAGCCAATTTCTTTTATTATGAGCAGTTAATTTGATAATCTTGTCATACTTTGTTGTTTTGTTGTTTTTCTTGTAGTTTAATGGTTATGCAGGTAGCTTGTTCTCAAGTGGGCCCTATGAGAAAGATGATGAGGAAGCCGATGCTATATATGCAGCGCTGGACAAGAGGATGGATGAAAGACGCAAAGAAAGAAGGTTACAAAAAAAAAGAGTCTATTGTTTAATTGTTTATCAATGCACAGTGTATTTGTTTTCAAATATATTATGGATTTTATATTGCAGGAGTCTTTTGTTCATGGTTGTCGTTGTATTTTAGGGAGCTGAGAGAAAAGGAGGAAATTGAGAAATACCGTATGGAGCGACCAAAGATTCAGCAGCAGTTCTCAGATTTAAAGGTAAGCGATTGACCCTAATATTCCAAACCTCTCTTCTGCATCATTTATGGAGTTAAAAAATCTAATGTTGTCTTCTTTTTGCACTAAAAGCATCTTAAATGCATTTTGGTTTTATTGGCTTTATTATCATATCTACAGAAGAAAAGGATTAATATTATCCAATGCAATTCTTTGGTTGAATCAGAATCAGAAGGCTTTTTTTAATGCCTGAGGAAATTATGTGATCAGAGTTTCTCCAAGACTGTAAGAACAGCAGCTAACTAAAATAAATTAAATATTTCAATATATTGCAAAGTTATGCAATATAATAAAATAGCTCTAATATAAAAAAATGGCTTTAATTATAAATGGCTTTAATGATAAATGTCCCAGTATATTACACAAATGAAATATATAGTTGACATTGTGGTGCCCCTCTTGTCATACTGTGCTTTTTTGTTTTCTCTGTAGAGGATGTGCAAATAGTAAGCATGTGCAGGCAGTACAGCATACACTGTGCTTTAAATGGAAGAATTGTACAATGAGATAGCCACAGGCAGGATCGGTTATAGTCTCTAGATTCATGATTTTTAAGCAATGAATTCCCAGGCTAAGATCTTTCTGTGAAAATAGCTTAGTCATAGCCTAGTAGTGAAAAGTGCCTTGCATGTTTGTCTCTGAAACAGTGTTCCCTTTTCTTCTTGTTTTACTGAGGAAATAAAATACTGATTAAAATAGAGGTGCTATTTTAATCAGTACAGATATTTGCAGATTCTGTGCAGTAAATCACATTTAGCTTAGGTACTCAGGTATTATCAAACAATCGTAAATGAAAGCAATGCTCACATCCCATTCTTTTCTCCAACATCTTTCTTTACTATTTCTCTACAGAGGAAGCTTGCAGAGGTGTCAGAGGAGGAATGGCTGAGCATTCCTGAAGTGGGAGATGCCAGAAACAAGCGCCAGAGGAATCCCCGCTATGAGAAGCTCACCCCTGTCCCCGACAGCTTCTTCTCCAAACACTTGCAGAGTGGAGAGAACCACACCTCTGTTGACCCGTTGCAAGGGGTCAGTATACTGTGTATACAAATAGAAATAATTTTTGTAACTCATATTTACTTCCAAGTGCACTTCACTAAACTTCAGGGTGTAGTTTCACTATGGCCCAGCAGGAGTCAGGATATCTCCTTGGAAAAAAAGTTACTCTGCAGTTACAGCAGTTTGCTCAGTTTTTGTCTGTTTAACAGACTGGACACCTGTTGCTACAGTAATTGGTCACACGAACTTTGTTGGCATTTAAAATACATTTGAAAGGGACACTTCATTGACCTGTGCATGCAGGTAGACGTCCATGAATTGAAAATGGAGACATGCGTGCTGATTTAAAAAGTTGAGTTTTTTAAGAGGTATAGCCTCCTAACAGAGAAAAAGTCATTGCTTGACTTTAAATTAAAAGATTGAAGTAATTTGTGTCATTTTGCATTGGCTAGAAAAGTGTTACATGATTCAGGCTTTTGTTTCAAGAGCTGTTTAAACGTGCCATGACAGACTTCTCACAGACTGTGTTGCTCCTCTCTGTTGACATTGTTTCCTATCTCTACTAGCTGGGAGGTCTGAACACACCTTATCCAGGAAGCATGACACCTGGTCTGATGACACCAGGGACCGGAGAACTGGATATGAGGAAAATTGGTCAGGCCAGAAACACACTCATGGATATGAGGCTCAGTCAGGTAAATGATGCATCACCTAGCGCAACTTTCACTTTTACTTTCTTCTAGGATTCATGCTGCTGCCATTATACTGATAGAA